GGGTTCACTTTTTACTCTATGCCCGGTTGTTTTCCCAAGAGTTGGATGGATTTCTTTTCTAACTAATTACGTTATTTGTTTATCAGTTCGAGTAAAAACCAAACTTCAAAGAGAAGGAGGGTGGAGAAGCCTAAAAGCATTGATCAACCTACAAAGAAGATGAGTGAACAACGGTCGGAGAGTGAAAAAGCGTCGAAGAAGAACTCTTCGAGAGGTTCATCCATGCAAGCTACTCCAGTTGTTGGAGACACGGTCCTTCAATCGCTCTCTAAAGATTTAACTTTTCTACACAATGTTGCTAGTATGTTGCCTAGTGACACTCCCATTGAAATTGCACTACCTTAGGCATTGTTCCACTATGATTAGGATGCAATTGCATGGATTACCAAAGAAGATGTGAAGGTTTTTCTAAGTGGTTCAATGCTTAACATTTCCCTCATTCAAACATTCATGAGGGTAATTCAATGTCGCTTAAATGATGTTATTCAGATTAGTGGTGATTGTCGTTTATTTTTCCATTATTATTCTATTATCATGCACGAGAGCACTATAGGAGCACTTACGTGACCTTGATATGATTCTCCTTGTCAAGCTGGGTGGTTATGCCCCGAGCAGACCTCCACTAATAGAATCTTAGGCAACCACCCTAACGTGTTGTACTATGTTGAAAGGAGTATCAAGGAATCAGTGCGTGCATGAGACAAGTTCATATTCACCCCATGTTATGAGGTGTACGTCTAACCATGCCAAATTCATTTGTTTCCCCTGATTATATGTTGACTCCTAATTATTGATTTGTTTGTCTATTGTGAATTTACGTAGTTTGCATTGGACCCTGCTGGTGATTTGTGTTTCTAATAACACAATCTTCCTATTTGATTCAACTCGATTACCTCATCCAAAAAAGCTCCTCGTGAAGTCCATATTGCAAAAGTAAATATAGCTACCTAGTGTTGATTATCATTTCCTAACTCATTTATTAGTCATACTAATCAAATTTGAACTTACTTTTCTAAAGTGTTATGAAGAAGATAAATTGTCGAGCTCGTGACGGTCCTACATGGAAATCACCGATGGTAATGCCACATGATATTGTGATTTTGGTAATAAACAATGCGTAAGATGTTGCTAATTTGCTATGCATGTTTGATTCATGTACTTTGTTCCTATGCTAGTGTGCACAACAAGATAACGAAGTTGATTGTGGCCTATACGTGATGAGATTCATGTTTGACATAGTAAGTCGTTGTACGGACACACTAAAGCTTGATGAGGTATGCCATTGACTTAGTTAATTTTCTCTTTTCATGTGATTTGATAAGAAATGTAGGAAGTAGGCATTCTAGTAGTCATATAGGCCTTATTTGGCCCATTTTGGATGAAAATGCGTCCTAAAACCCTTGAATTGCTCTTTTCATGTGATTTCAAGCCTTAGGCGCCTATAACTAAGTAATAATGACATGTTATGAGAAAAAATAAGTTCATTTAATAAGAAATGTAGGAAATAGGCATCCTAGTAGTCATATAGGCCTTATTTAGGCCATTTTGGATCAAAATGCGTCCTAAAACCCTTGAATCTCTTTTCATGTGATTTCAAGTCTTAGCTGCCTATAACTAAGTAATATTGACATGTTATGAGAAAGAATGAGTTTATTTGATAAGAAATGTAGAAAATAGGCAAAGTAGTAGTCATGTAGGCCTAAGTAATAAATTTTTGCCTAAATGAACTTGTAAAATTATTTTTGCATGCATAACCTAAGTAATTGATTCTAACATAAATTTTGTTTATTCCAAGTTTTGCAAGATACAAAAGGGAGGTCCGTTGACAAGCAAGGAACTTAATGAAGTTCGAGACATGTTGGCGTCTTTCATCACCTTTAATTTGTTAATGTCATTTCTATTGGAATTTGTATTTTGTTAAATTTTTAACCACATTATTAATTAGTATTGTTTGTAAATATGACAAATTTTTTTTTTTGAGGAATTGTAAATATGACCCTTCATTGTATTGCATTTGGGATTATTAGTTAATATCTATGTATTGTTGTTATTATTTCAATTTAGAAATTATTATTATTATTATTATTATTATTATTATTATTATTATTATAATAATAATAATAATAATTATTATAATAATAATTATTATTGTTATTATAATATATTATAATAATGGTAGAATTAATACATGATGTACAGGTTTATTATTATTATTATTAGTATTAGTATTAATATTATTATTTATTGCCAAAAAACAAAAAAAAGAAAAAAAAAAACAGTTAAAGGCACCGGTTAACCGGTGCCAATTATATGTATAAAAAAATAAAATAAAAAGCGCGCCAGGTACTTTTAGCACTGGTTAACCGGTGCCAAAGAGTGTAATTCGCATCGGTTAACCAGTGCTAAATCTAAGGATTGGCACTAGTTTTGAACTGGTGCAAAATCTTCTAGTTTTTGGCATCCCTCAAATCTAGACCGGTTCAAAACCGGTGCTAAATGAGGGGTTTGAACCGATGCTCATTACCATTTTTCACCTAGTGATGAGCAGTTAGCTGATGGAGAGCCTTGTGGAATGGAGGAGGAGCCAAATGCTCAAGTGAAGTAGTTTATTAAGCTTTTAAAGGCTTTTAAGCAACCACTATACAAAGGGAGCTTTGTAACTGTGTTGGCAATGACATCTAGAATTGTGTCTTTGAAGTCAAGTATAATTTGCCACATAGGTGTGTTGATGGGTTCGCTTCATTAATCAATGAAGCAATTCATGGTAACATGGCCAACACATTTTATGATACAAAGAAGATGCTCAACGAATTTGGAGCTTCCTAACGAGAAGATTCATGCGTGCCCTAAAGGTATTTGGGTAAGTTAAAAGCTCATTTAAGCCATGTTGAACTACTTATACTCCTATAACCTTTTATTTGCAGGAATTTGAATAATTTTAAGCATTTTTAACCTATAAACATGTTAAATATACTAAATATAAGCTTTTAGAAAGATTAGATGTGAATTTGTTATGAAAATAAATTTTTTTGGTAAATTATAAGCTCATTTAAGCCATTTAGAACTACTTATACTCCTATAACCTTGTATTTGGATGAATATGATTACTTTTAAGCATTTTCAACTTAAAAATATCTCAAATAAACTAAATATGAGTTAAAAGAAGGATTAAATGTTAGTTTATAAAGAAAACAAAGAATTTGGGTAAGTTAGAAGCTTATTTAAGCCATTTTGAACTACTTATGCTCCTATAAATTGTATTTGCATGAATATGATTACTGTTAAGCATTTTTAACCTATAAACATGTTACATATACTAAATATGAGTTTTTAAAAAGATTAGATGTGAATTTGTTATGAAAATAAAGAATTTGGGTAAGTTAGAAACTTATTTAAGCCATTTTCAACTACTTATGCTCCTATAACCTTGTATTTGGATTAATATGATTAATTTTAAGCATTTTCAACTTAAAAACATCTCAAATATACTAATATGAGTAGTGCAAAGGATTAAATGTTAGTTTATAAGGAAAACAAAGAAATTAGGTAAGTTAGAAATTTATTTAAGCGATTTTAAATTACTTATGCTCCTATCTATAACCTTGTATTTTCATGAATATGATTGTTTTAAGTATTTTCAACCTATGAACAAGTTAAAATATTAAATATGAGTTTTTAGAAGGATTAGATGTTAGTTTATGAAGAAAACAAAGAAGTTTGATAAGTTAGAAGCTCATTTAAAATATTTTGAACTACTTATGCTTCTAAAACCTTGTATTTGTATGAAAGCATTACTTTTGAACACATGATTGACTATTCAATGAATGCAGGATATCTACAACAAGAAGGTGGATGAGTGTACTTCTCAGGGGACACAACCAAACCCTAACCAGCTGTATTGGGAGACGATTAGTGGGAGGATGGAGGCATAGGTTCATGAATGGGTGGAGGCTGCATTGGTAAAGGAACGGGAGAACTAAAGGGTCATGATAGAGGAGATGTTTAGGAACATGTCCCAGTTCAACCACATGTTCTCGACTTGTGGGTCCGGACCAACTTAACACCGTAGACACGAGGATGACCCTAACTTTGGTGGTGGCAATGTTGCACAGACTCCCGTGGACCTAGCTAGGTAGTTAGTGTACGTATTTATTAGCTCGTTCATTATGGTAGTTTCATCTATCTATCTATCTATATATATATATATATATATATATATATATATATATATATATATATATATATATATATATATATATATATCGGCCTGTGTAGTTACTTTATTTAGTTTTCATATATATTATAAAGGCATGCAATTTTGGTAGTTTCACTAATCATCGGAATCTGGTAATTTTTTCTTGGTGCCAGCTTGTATATTGTATATATAGCTACGTTCTCAAAATATTATTAATATAATGTAACTAAGTACTATGAATATTATTGTATAATTAAGAAAAAACCAAATTATTGAAATTATTGAATTGTAATTCAGATAGTAGGTTTTATTTACAAATTGAGTGCATGTTATATTTTAAAACAATTTAATTTTAAGAAAATCAAGAAAAAAATACAAATATTATGACCGACGGTTATTTACCGTCATTGCCTATGCTAAAACCATCGTTGATACTCTAACAAGGGTGTCATATGGCTGGGCTCTACGACATAGACCTAAAAGGAAGGAGGGAGGGAAGCATGAAAAAAACAAAGTACGTGACATATTACACTACTATATTTTTGACCTATTGCAATCTCCAAATCCGTTGCATTAGGTGTCAAAATCTGTGGCATTAGGCCTAATGCAACGGTCATGTACCGTGGCATTTGCTGGCGTTGCAGTAGGTCTAATGCCACAGCATATGACACCTAATGCCATGGCATCAATTTTCCGTTGCGTTAGATCAGCACCTAATGCAACGGAAACATTAATGTCGTGGCATTAGCTATAATATCTAATGTCACGGTTTCCTATACCTAATAACACGGTGCATATACCCTAATGTCACGGTTCCCTAAATCTAATGCCACACAATGCATATACCCAGACTATTAAATTGAAAATTCATTAATGAAAATAAAGGGTTTATACATTGTTTTCATTGGGAAAATTATAAAATAAATTATCACTATTTAAATTAACATCAAAATTCATAGCTAAATAACTAAGGAAGATTATTAAAAAAATTTAATAGACTGAAATAAAAGCTTTGCATCTTTTGTTCCCAAATTATATAATGTAGAATCACCGGCAGCTTCAAAAGGTAAGGAGCCAAAAAAGAAAAAAAATCGAGGAAGACCAAGCGTTGATGATCGATGAGCCATTACTTTATATTCTAGTAGTGAGCTTATAAGGCACCTGCCACCCACTAGGGGCAGTTAGGCACCAACTAAAAACAAAAGGGAATAAAAAAATTAGATAAACACCATCAAGATTTATTTACTTCTAACTCTTGCTCTAAGTTTGACAAAGCTTTGTGATCAAACTTCACTGAGAGGCAGAAAACCACCCCCACCCCCAATAAAACCCCCACCCCCAATAAAACCCCCAAACAAACTGGGAAGGCCATCAACAAAAGCAATCATAACCGTTTATCCTTCAATGGTCAACCATAATCTCCACCAACGAACACATCTTTTGTTTTGCCCAGCTTCCAAAACATCGAGCAAAGATAAACTTGAATGACATAAAGGGGACATGAAGACATGGAAATACAAGGAGCACACCAAGTAAAAAACGTTCACAAAAGATGGTATCAAAGTGGAACGAAGCAGCAGTGAGCCAGGAGTTCAATAGAGCTCCCAAAATAGTCCTAGCTTCACGAAACGAACATAATGAATCATTAACATTTTTAATATGCTTGTATAAAACCACGATTGTTATTAATACAGCAAGTCAAACATCATTAAAAATGAAATCCCAGTGTCATAGTCACACTCCACCCTAGACCTTACAAAAGACTTAAAAAGCTTCAACTTTGACAAGATACGTTCCACACACTAACCAGCCCGGATAGAAAACCTGCTGATCTCTTTGCTTACTAATATGCCCACACCTCTCTTTGCAGACCTCCTTTCCCCTTATTATCTATAGAAAAATTCATACACAACATGTTTGATAGGATCCACACCTTTCAAGCAATAAACCACATTTTCATCACCCAATAAAATCCCTCATTTTATCATAACTGGTCCCAAAGATTTCTTTCAATATTTCCAGCACAAGCTGTTGACCCTCTACTTCAAAATCAAACTTTTCAAAAGCTTTGATTATGTAGTGAAACAACCCTTTAAAATTCAACAAATGTAGAATAGGCACACCTTCACTAACTTAGGACGGGAAACATACTCAATTACTCAGATACATTAAAGAAAACCAGAACAAATTACCATACAATTTGCAAATGAAGATCTAGTAATTTGAACAGATTCAAAATAATATAGTCAGCCAGCCTTATTTTTGGAGCACGAACTTGCTGCCCTTTATTACTTTGATTTTTATTATCTACCCAGCGTTGCTTAGTCTGGTTCTAGAGATGGAGACTTGCCAACAACATATTAGGAAATATGAGAATGAATATAAAAGGAATTCAGACAGAATGCGATTATGTAGAAAAGATAAAAGCCAATCTGAAAAGCTTCAAACAAAATGACCAGAAAATATAAGTTCATATAGTTGATTCACCACCCTCCTAAGCAATGCATTAATTAGTTTAATCAGAGATAATTAAATGGCAGCACAAGATCTGATACTACAACTGTCAAGCAAAAAGATTACCAGATCATATCAATTTACAAAACAGAGAAAACAACAATACGTACAAGTATAGAGGTGTAGCAACAACTAATTTTAGAACTAAAACCCATAACACAATATCAAACTATTTCCAAAGTTTCCCAAAATCAAATTCCAAGGGATCGGAATTGCAAAATTAGGTTGAAATCTTCCTTAGACATTGACAAACACTTCATTAATTTTAAGCTTAAAGAGAGAAGAGGGAAAGAATACCGTGCATGTGGCAGTGAGGAGAGGAGCGGTAGTCTTAAATCTCTTCTTAGCTATAATCTGAAATCCTAGAAATCTAAGCGCCGTAATGGATGCCGCGACCACCGTCACCACCACCATCACCTCCATAAATCCTAGAAAACAATAGTCAATGATGATTACAAATCAATTACAAATCCTTTTTTACAAATCAATTACCTAAAATCAAAAATAATGAAAATAAAACAAAAGCCAAGAGGCAAACCCTCGATTGTAAAATCGATAGTCGGTGATGATTTAAAAGAAAAAAAAAAATGTACCTAAGAAGCTGATTCAATGGAGAACAAAAGGCTCAAAAGCCGTTTCAGGGATGAGTTTAATGTACAGCTTCAATGGAGAATTCAAAATACGACTTGAATGGAGAGGATTCAGAGTATTACTTCATTGGACCAGAGAGAAAAGGATTCAGAGTACTACTTTAATGGACTTCGATCAATGGATGACGGGTTCTCAAGGATGGAGAAGGCAGGTTGCAAAATTGGAGGAAACCCTAACCATATGAATTGAAGAAGGGGAATTTGAAGTTTTTTTAATTTGTAAATAAGCTAACAGTGGGGGTTAAAATATTTGGAGTCTTTAATTTAAAATTTCAAAATTTTAGGTATAAAATAATGAGGGAAAAAAAAAAATTGAAAGTTTAGTAGCCGTTGTGTTAGCTTTGTTGCTGTTATATTAGCCCAATCTAATGCAACGGCATATAAGGGACCGTTGCATTAGATATGATATATAATTGACTATTGTATTAGTTAATCTTACCGTTGCATCAGGCTATCTATTGCAACGACATTGAACAGGGCGTTGCGTTAGCTCATTTTTTGGCGTTGCATTTGATAAAAAATGTAGTAGTGTTATTGATTGTGCGTATAATGCGTTCGACTTTACCATCTTGGCAAGACTTTTTTAGGCAAGAGAACCTAAAAGTCATCCCATGTTTGGCACAAAATTGATGGATATGAGTGTTGTCAAACTCACGCTCGTTATCACTTTGAAAGGATTTTATAGGCCTTTCGAATTGAGTTTTGACATAGGCACTAAAATCATGAAAGATATTATAAACTTGGGACTTGTATTTCAAGGGAAAAATCCATAGAAAATAAATAAAATCATCAGGTAAAACAAGATTATATTTATGACCCAAACGACTACGGATTGGTGAAGTCCATAAATCTGCATGAACAATATCAAAAGGAGTAAAAGTTAAGAACTCTTAAAAGGGAGTCTAACATGTTTCCTTAATGGAAATTAATAACAAAAATGGGTGGAATTCCTTGTATTACAATGAATCAAACTATTTTTCTGAAGAAATTCGAAAAACTAGTTTGGCGGGATGCCTAAGTCGACTGTGCCAAATGGAAAGAGGGAGATTGGATGTAGTATGCCTATAGTGGAAGTGGAAGAGAAAGGATAGAGGTCCCCTACACTATTGCACCTCGCTAGAACCGTCCCTTTATGAAGGTCCTTCACTTAAAAACCAAAGGGGTCAAACTCAACAAAAACAGAGTAGTCACAAGTAAACTTCCTAACATATATAAGATTTTTAATAATGTTAGGAGTGTAAAGGATATTTTTGAGTTAAAAGGGAGGGTGGGGAGGTGAAAAGTGGTAGTCCTATAGCCATGTATAGGAATGCGTTTTCCATCACCAACTATTATAAATTGAGGATTGCTCAAATTAAACAATTTAGGAAGACTTTTTAAAAAAAAAAAACGATTTAGGAAGATTACCTGAGGTATGGGTGAGGTGTTATGTAGCTCCCATGTCCATGTGCCAATCGTCAACCAGAGGTTGTATGCTCATGCTACTCTATGCTTGACCAAGTTTAGTTGGAGACATAAGAGGCTCGTATAACTGCTTGGGCTGCTGTTGGACTGGAGAAAAGAACGCTTGTTGGGCTAGTCAAGGGCCAACTACACCCGGTTGGCGTTGGTAGTACGACTAGGGAACAGTGGGAACGAACATAGAGGAGAAGCCCACTTCCCACCTTGCTACCATTGTTATAGGTCAGCCCAATTTTGCTGTTGACAAATGGGCCATTTTTGTTGCTATTGGGCTGGAGGGCGCTGCTAGTTGTTGTTGTTTTGTTTGTTGTTGGTGTTGGGTTTCCTTTTGCCACGACCTTTCCCTCCACGCCAATTGCTCTTCCCTTTGCCACGACCTCTTTGTCCGCCAAAACCACCGCCACTGCCAGATCGTTGGGATTGGTCAGAGGATGGCAGTTGCGAAGGAGGGATTGATGAGGTGGCCTTAAGAGCATGCTAGGTACGCTCTTCTTGTTTGTTTTTCCTCGTCTCTTATAAGAGGAATTGAGAGCGTGCTTTAATAAAGCTTTGAAAAGGTCCAGTCTGTTGGATAAGTGCAACAACAGTGTCGTACTCATTTTTAGGTAAATTGGTAATTAATTCAATCACCCTTGCGCTCCAAGATAGGGTTGCCTACATTGCTAAGTTGATCAGCAAGGAGCTTGATTTGTTGACAATACTCCGTCATTTTAGCAGAGTTCTCGAGACGCGTGTTTGGAAATTTTTCTTCCAAATACACGTCGTCCCTGGTATGTTGTTGTCCTGAAAGAACTCCTCCAATCAGGTCCATAACTTAAGAGTTGTTGCGATGGGCTTCATTATAGTTGTGGACTAGGTCCTTAGAAATAGTCCCATAGATCCATTACTTAACAATGGCATCGAGTTGCTTCCAAGTAGACTCATCGACATCTGCCAGACAACGAACTACAGTTGCATCGATGTGATCTAAAACATTGAAGGCACATGCATAAATATGGAATAACTCCACCCATGTGGCATATTAGGCTTCCTTCTTATCAAGAGTAATACTCATCAGATTCTTGATATTTGAGAAACATACGTCGGATGAAAGGGGGAGGAGAAGGAGAAGGGGTGTTGTTATGGTGAGATTGGTTCAAGGATGAAACATCTTCCTCGTGGATGGCCATGGAACGAGAGCATGGTGGCTAGGGAGTAGAGGATCGACTTATGCCCTGTTCTTTTGAGCTGTTCTGCTCTGCTCTGCTGAAATCTGCTCTACTCTGCTTGAAAATAATAATTAATAATAATAATAATTAATATTTAATATTAATAATAAATATTTAATAATAATAATAATAATAATAATAATAAAAGTAATTATAATAATAATAATTCAAATTTAATAATCATAATAATAATAGTAATAATAATAATAATAATAATAATAACAATAATAATAATAATAATAATAATAATAATAATAAAAGTAAAAACAACAACAACAACAATAATAATAATAATAATAATAACAATAATATTAATATTAATATTAATAATAATAATTATTATAATGCTGAAATCTGCTCTTCTCTGCTCTGCTGACCTCTGCTTTGCTCTGCCATAAGCTCAAAAGAACAAAGCCTTAGGGTTTTCTAGAGAGAAAGAAAAGAAGGTTGTAATACCATGTAGAATTGTGTAAATATACTTGATTAGAGTATTCTCATTGCTTCAATATATATAGGATAATATTTACTACCCTAATAATATGAGAATATTCATAAACAAAAATACACAAAATATATTAAATAACAAATTATATGGAGAATATTAATCATATTCTCTAACATTTTGGAATAAGAATAAAGGGAGATATTAAGAATGGTGGAAAAAAAGCCATAGTGGAACGTACAGAAGATGAATTGATTTTTTTTTTCCAGAAAATTTAATGGTATGTTGGAGTTAAATTTTTGAAATTTAAATGTACGATGACTCCAAAACAATTATATATGTCATTTATTTTATTATAGTTATTCAAATAATCATTGTTATCAAGCGCCTTGAGGCGCTTATTAGCATTTGTCTATTATTAAATATTTGTATTGATATTTTAACTAGCTTGAAACTGATTATATTGTCAAATAGATCTCATAAATTTGATATGATTTTCAAGATTTTGTTTTGTCAATTTGAAATTGTAGCTTTAAAATACATTTTTATTAAGCAATATATTTCTTGCTAAAGGCATATAATTATTTTTTAACAACAATAGTTTTTAACCTTATAGTATCATTTTATGACAAAAAATTTGGTCATTATTAATTCAGACCTTGTCGTTAATAGACTAATTATATAACGAATACAAATTTTACCATCATAAATAAATAACAACGAGTTTTAAGTCATCGTTAATTATTAGCGACGAACATCGTCGTTATAACTTATAACGAGGGAACCTATCACATCGACTTGACGATGAATTTGTTTGTCTTTAAAAACCCTTTTTCCTAGTAGTGGTAGGTAATTCCAAAAAAGTCTCAAAAAAATGTTGCTTCAAGCTCTCGACTCTCAAGTGTTACAGTGTTTGTATTTAAGTAAAAAGGGAATATTTGGAATCGTAATAGAGAAATTATTGGATAATATACAAGGAGGGTCAAAAGTTAGGAAGACTTGTATATAGGTATGGCTTCTTGTGTGCGTATGTCTTGATTAAATGTCCATCACCAATATGCTATTTAGGAAAAATTGATTTTAATAATCCCATCTTTTATCGATTTTCTTTAAATAATCCCAACTTTTGATTATGTTGGAATAATCCCAACTTATATAGGTATCTTCCTAAAATATTCCGAAGTGTTATTTTTGTTGCTTTTGTTGACCCGTTTTGGGACTATTACGTACAACAAAAATAAAAGTTCGGATAATTATAAGAAAATAACTATATAAGTTGGGATTATTCAAGAATAATCAAAAGTTGGGATCATTTAAAGAAAATTAGTCAAAGTTGGGATTAATAAAACCAATTTTTCCTATTTATAGTTGAAGTAAGAAGGTGGAAGAAATGTGTGGAAGCATTACATACACTCCACATATATTTAGAAGCTTTATGAGAATTTACCATGTCTAGCATCTTCCATAACTTTCCCCCAATTTCTCAACATGCTAGAATTTTCCAAAGACCTTTAGAAGACATGATATGCAATTGGTTGGTTTGAGCTTATTGATTTTGGGTCACACTAAACTCAATAAAGCAGGACATTAGTTTCTTTATAAATTTATTCACCATATTTACAAAAATATCATCCTTTAATCCCCTAAAATCAAAAGGAATACCCAAATCAATGCCAAATTTTGTTCAGCTTTTAAAGCTTAGGATTTTACCAAAATTTTCTGTTGTTTTAATAGGTAGAAAATTAGTTCGTTGACTAATCTGTTAATGATAAAACAAATTTATAAATACTAAACTAACCTCTAAATATCAAGTCTAGTGGTAAGTTCAAGGTCGAACCACAAGGAACGATTATGCTAGATTGATATCAATCTCATACTACACTTGATCAAAATGGGCCCGATCCGATTTTGGGCAGGTTTGGGCACCAAATTAGGCTTGAAACCGGATTTGGGCACTAAAAATTCGGGCTTAAAGTTTTTTGGGCAGATTTGGACTGTAGGTATGGCCCACAGGCAGACCCGGATGCACAGGTGGCGTTCATTAGTTTAATTGTTTTAGTCATTTAGATAAAAAAACAACAAAATAAATAAAATAAAAAAAAACAAACAAAGATATGTTCATCAGTTTTTAGTGTAAAAGAAAAGAGAAAAAAAAAATTTAGATAAAAAACAATAAAATAAATAAAATAAAAAAACAAACAAAGATACGTTCATCAGTTTTTAGTGTAAAAGAACAGAGAAA